GGTGAGTTCTCTTCCTGTATTGTCTCCTCCCAGTTTCGCACTCATGTCGCCCATCAGGATTTTGATATCGCTCTTTGGGACGTTGTCCATTACTGTTTGTAGTTGACTGTAGAAATCCTCCTTCTTCTCTTTTTCTGAGACGTTTGTAGGCGCGTGGCATTGAATGATTGTAACCTTCTTTCCTTTTGAGTTGAACCTGGCTGTCATTATCCTGGAGGAGATTGGTTCCCACTGCATGAGAGCTTTGGCTGCTGTTGGTGATATCATGATGGCTACTCCCTCGGTGTGCTCGTGATTGTCCTCTGGGTGACCGGAGTAGATTATTGTCTCTCCAGTTGATAGTTGGCTCCTTCCACATCTGTTCCATCTGCTCTCGCAGATTCCCAACACTTCCATTTTATATCTCCTCATTTCTGCGGCTACCTGAGCAGCCTTTCCAGTTTCGTACATTGTACGAATATTCCACGTCCCCATCCTTATTTTTGCTTTCTTCGAAAGGAGGCACATTGGCTGACTGGCTTCCCGAAGGCTTTCACCAGCCCGCGTCATTTCACTTCCCCGATTCCAGCGAAAAATAAGGTCACTATTTGTAGTTTTAGAATTTTGAATATATTTGTGCGTTGAAGTTTTAGTAGCAATTTGGTTAAGTTTTGGGGGTGGAGTTGCTAGCACCACGCCCCAACCCTCCCTCTTTATCCGGGCTTGGGACCGGCTAGAATACTAGTGACCTAGTAATCTAGGCGAGGTTAAATAGTTTTGTATACTAAAATTATTTCCCTATATACAGCTATGGAGAACTACCTGCAAATGCTCCCATTGGAAACAAAATCACATTTTAAAAGTCTGACAAGGGAAGCCGCCGGCAGCCTTCCAGTGACATTCTCTTGCAAGAAACTATTCAGCCAGCAAGAGAAAGACAAGTTTTCGCATTGTTCCACTTTAGCAGGCACATACCAGCTCACCTGCCCAAGTGGAGCCGAGTAAATTGGTTGAAACATGCTTCCACTTTTAAAACGCGCTCTGTAACACTATTCAGCCTGGCTGGATGGTAAAGGCAGAGAACAAGTTTGTATATAATCCGGTAACAGGATATTTGGTGAATTCTGGACATTCAGCCCCATTTGATGGCAGGTCCTTCAAAGTCATATATATAAGATGCTATCAAACCTCTTAAAGGGAGTGAAATTAATCGATCTGGAAATAGCTGAGGCTCTGGAGATCCATAATTTCAAGCCCAACTCATGTATTTAATAGGAATACGTCTAACAGTTGTCTCTACTATGGTCATCACAGAAAGTCAGTCTTGGCAATAATGATCATTGAATTACGTGTTTCATTGAATCCTCCTGTTTATTTCTGTTACTTTCACGTTTTTAATTCTTATCTGCACTACTACGTTTGTGTTTCTTTTCCGAAGTTCGTGCCTATTTTATTATTACAACGTTTTTTATCCCTAATTGCTCAAAAAATCAATTCTCCCTGAAGTTATCATCCTGCTACGTTGTTTCTATCCTATCCTCCTGTTCATTACTTACTTTGCATCTTATAAATCTGACCCTTGACCGGAAATAGTTCTGGAACTTCCGCGCCCACTTACTATAAATACACAAATGGGCAGCAGAGCTGATGACTTTGTAGAAAAGAAAATTTTATTAGTCACTGTCAACCATCTTTTCAATTATTCCTATGATCCAATGTGTATATTCCGTAATCAGTATGTATAATAACAGTAATATCATTGTGAACAACAATATTAATGAGCTGATATCAGTGAGAAAACCATTGGAAATCTAGCACTCGAGTTCTGGACGGCTGTTTCGTCCCAGTTTGGGACTTTTGCCTACTGATGAAGAGCCCCAAACAAGGACGAAACAGTTATTCAGAACTCGAGTGCTGGTTTTCCAGTGGTTCTCTAACTGATGTCAGCTAATGACGAGATCCTCCAACAATTAAACAAAATTCACTACAAAACCAATAATCAAATCAATTTGGTCAATATAATCATTTTTCGCATTTGTGCCTTGGGAAATTATATTGTCATTATTAGTCAAGCTCTAATCAACTGGTACTCTATTCTTAATATTTAACTGTGTAAATTCAGAATATAGTAGTAGTAAAGAGAAGTAGTCTGTGCTTCAAAACAGAGATCCATCTTCAAAAATCTCACATAGACTGGACTATTCATCAATTTTCAAAGCCTCGTTCCTCTAAGTAGAAAGAGGAACCTGATAAACACTCTTTCTTCGAGGATTCAGAAGATATGCAGCGAGGAGGTGATTGATGAAGAACTGAGTAATCTCCGGAGAAGCCTGATGGAAATCTGAGAAGACTTCCGAACAAGTTCAATCCGTCCCGAAGAAGAATTCAAAGGTGACACTGAAGCAAAAATCCTTCGTAAATGCCTCTGTAAATCTCTGAGGAAGATATACTTTGCGCGAGCCTACGACTGACGTTGAGTGCGTCGGTGGCATAGCAGTTAGGATGCTCGCCAACCGTGCACATGGTCCGGGGTTCGATCTCCGGCCGACGCACTCCTTTACCTCGCTAAGCCAGAAATAAAGCTGGTTAAGGGGAAAGGTTGGGCATGAGGCTAGCAAATCCATCCTGTAAAGATAAACACTGCTACAGAAACTTCAAGCCACTAGCTTGGAGCCCTATGTTCCACTGGGAACGTGAAGGAATAAAAAAGAACGACTGACGTTTGCCTGCAAGAAACTCTTCAGCCAGAACGCGAAAGACAAACTGTCGTATTCGGCCACTTCAACGTGCATATACCAATTTACTTGCTCTTGTGGAGCTGAGTACATCGGCCGTACCATGCGCCAACATGAAAAACGCGCTCGTGAACATTATCCAGCCCGGCTAGTAAAAGGAGAACTAAAACGTGTACATAGTTCAGTGACGGAACATCTGGTCGATTCAGGAAATTCAGCGCTATTCGAAAAATCCTTCAAAATAATATACAAAATCCTGCTTTATTAACCTTTATTGCTTATTTTAAAAAAACACCTGGATTAGTTTTCTGATTAGGCGTCAGAACAGACCTTCTGCAGCGCTAACCACAAAGTAATTTAACAACTGCCTAATTATTGTGGATTGTCGAAACCCACACATTAACAAGCCTTATTCAATAACTATTCGATGAATACGCCTACCAACTAATTCACACTAGTGAAAACTCACTCAAGGTGTTTGTAGGTGAATTCAAGAGTTAGACAAGCCTGTCTCCTATCATAAAATCATCTCAGTACTTGCAGTAAACTGTATAATGTGATAGGCTGTGGAGAATGATGAAATGTTAGGCATGCGTTCTATCGAAATGGCGACCGATACACTACTGCAGTTTTTCATTCCAATCAGAATGATAAGTGAAATTAACAATGGTGATGAATACGCTTACGTGTTTGAAAAGCGAAAGCCATTTGTGATTCTCTGAAGGTTACTAAGTACAGTAAATTTCACGAATCATTTATTTTACTCATTACTGAATACAGAATACGACTGGTAGTTGAGGAAGTGAATTTTGACATGACGCCAGTTGTAACAATAAACCGTTTATCTGACAACATTTTGATGACTATCCAGTTATTAAGAGAAATACAGAAAACGTCAGAGTTAAGATATGTAGACGATACTTTTGTAGTGCTGAAACGAGATCTACACAAAACATTCTTGAAGAAAATAAACAATCTATCTCCCAGAATCCAGTTCACTTTGGAAGCAGAAGGAGACTTGGGTGAACTATGTTTTCTAGACTGTGTGTTTAGTCAAGATGAGGGAAAAAAGACATTTTATTATATCTCTATTCAGGAAGAAAACCCACTCCAATAAATATTTAGACTTTGAATCATCACACCCCATCAGCGCAAAGGTATCAGTTATTCCAAGTCTCCTTAGACGAGCACACTCTGTGATGTTAGCGGATGAGAAGGAGAAAGAAAAGAAAATATCAAACATTACTGAAATTCTCAAGGAAAATAACTACCCATTTCATTAAAAGATCAATATCGACATTTAAAATATGGTCGTAAACGTATTCCGAAGTCATGGACCTAAACAGTTGTCATTCCATATAGAACATCAGATACGTCAGATAACATGAGAAGAGTACTCAATAAAAATAAACAACGTCAAAATTTTCTTCAAAAACATCAAACAAACACACTTAAAAGCAACCTTGCCTATATAGAAGACCAAGTCTCTAATAATTCTCAATCTAATTGTGTGTACAGAATAAAATGCTTGAAATGTGATATGAAATCGGACAAACATCACCAAGGAGAGAAATCAAGGTAATCAGAAGAAATGAATACCATAGGCTATCTGTCTGATCTCCGTAAAATCCAGTTGAACTATAAAAGCTCCAAGGGTCTTCAGCTATAACTCGTCTACAAGCTATAGAATCAGGTCAGAAAACTTATCTTAACAATATCAAATATCATCCAGAAAAATTTCAGAAATCACAAAGAATGTCTCACGTAATGAGAAGCATTTCATATCAAATGGAATCCGAATTGTCTGAATAGGAATGATGAACTAAAACAGAATTCGACCTAGTTGCGAAATTCTCCACCACCCCATAAAGTCAAAAAATCAACACGAATGATATCATAAGCAATTTCATCATGTAAACACACGCTGCTTTTATAATTTCATACACTTATCAAATACAACAATATACACCTGGTTTTGTTGTCTTTACTAATTGGCCACCTTGACAGCACCGTTAAAGTTACCCCAAACTGATGAGAGATGATTAAGTTGTTCTACATAAGCTGAGTGGATTTTGTAAATTCCGGTTTAATAATACAACTCTGATTAAGCTGCCAGCATTAAATAGCGAAACGTCATTCATTGGGAAATATAGAAAACCTTTATTACAATGAATATCAAATGCCCAATGCCCTAATTTTTTCAAACTGTTTTAAGTGAACTCGGTTTGAACATATATAATTTACAAAAGTCAATTTTCAAAAACAAAAAGGATGTAATCGATCGCACTAACAGAAATATTTCAAAAGTTTACTACAAGTGAAAAGTAACACAATTACTTTGATGACCTGCATCCACCACACATTTCGATCATTCCTAATTGAAGAATTCCCAGGACGGAATCTACTGATTGATTGAGCAATGTTTCTGAATTCTTGTAGTACTGGTCCTTGATATCTTGTGTTCCCGTCGGCGCCTATAAGTTCTGTTAACTGTGATTCACTCAGCATAGGTTGACCGCCTGGAGTTTGTGCAGCTATTCTTCTCAAAGCTTCTTCCATACTCATTTGAAATTGTCTTTTTGACAAAGTGTGTTCACCATCATCACCAGTTACTGCGACAATGCCAAATGTTGCTTGACAACATTTCATTGAATATGTGATGATGGAGAGGAGGATGTTCAGGAGGAATACGCGTGAAAACACGATATCTGATTGTTTCATATTTTTGTATTTATCACAGTATGATTCAGTTCATTCAATGTTCAATGTTCGATGGATAAATATTCATTCAATTATTTTCCTTTTTTGACATACTGTGAATAAAAGATAATGAGTAGAACTGAAACAAGTTAAGTTTAAATATTGCAGAGAAAAGAGTTTAGGTGTCCGTGTGTGTGTGAGTGTGTGTCAAGTTTCTGTTGGTTGGTGGTATTTGATATTCTACAAAATGGACAGAGTGTGGTGATCATCTTTCATCCATTGTTGACCTTTTTGTTATAAATGAAAACAAAATGAGTGAGTGAATATTCTCAACAATCAGTAAGTGAGCTGTAGTCTTAAGAAAGAAATTGTCTTAGAGAATATTTGTATGTTATTTTAGTGCATGGTGACTAACCGTGGAACATCTTGTCTGAGAATTGACAGCTAGATTGTTTTCGAGACTCGACCTCTGCATTGTTGGTTCAAACTCACTAGGAAGGTGAGAGTGCATCCCGACGACGAGCCTTAATGGGACGAAATGTGCATCCTGGATTCCATTTACATTTCACTATCAAGTGAAGCATCACCAGGTTGTTCAGACCAAAAATATTTGATAGTGAGTTTATCATGAATTGCAAAATCTAATCTTCGGTATCTTTACCTGTGCGTTGATGGCTTGAAGGTAGAATGCTCACCAATCAGGCGCGTGGTCTGGGATTCGATTCCCGGCTAGCGCACACCTTTACCCCTGTTAGCATGTTATAAACCCGACCGAGAGGGAAGGTTAGGCATGAGAGTAACAATACTACTCTGTAATAAACACCACTGCTAATGAGTTTTCAAAGCTGTAGCTGGAAGTTTGACGTTCCAGTTGCTGCTCACAGGAATTAAATAATTGTCTTTACTCGTCATTTACGTTTAACCCTATGGTGAATGGTTAAAGGTACAGTTTTAGTGTTTGGTTTAACGTCACGGTAAGTACCTAATTAAGGATAATTATTGTGTAGTGAAAAGTCGACAAGTTCTTTCCAAAATACTATCTGTGGAAGCTGGAAAAGACTGCAGAGAACAGAGTGAAGTGGCGGTTGATGGCCGGAGCCCAATGTTCCAATAAGAGCTCAAAGGGATGACTAATAACGACAATCACATTAGGAATACAACATTCAGTGGAGAGATTACTTTTAACAGATATATTATCAGTGGATAAAATGATAATAATAATAATATGAAATGCATGTGCTGAAATGAGTGTCTTTGCTGAATATTGTGTTCTTAATGTTAAAATGAGAATTGATAAATTATTGAGGCAGTCACATTATCCATGTTTACTGCTACGCAATGAATGATACAAGCATATTTATAATATCGCATTAATTTCCTTCTCCATTAGATTAGATTTCATGTGGTCTGAGGACATCATCAGAAATACACAATTCACGAAAGTCTCATACGCATTTGTAGATCGTCCAAATCATCCAGCATTGCGGTTATACACCTAGTGTTGGGGTAGTTCGGGTACAATTGGCCTTGTATAATGTTGCGCTGGAAGTATTAATTCCTCAATAAGGAAATGAATTAACCTCGATTGCGAAAAAAACAACATGACACCATCTACTATAAACAACTGATAAATAGAAGAAATTAACATTTTTTGGTGGGGTAAATTTCAGCTATATCTATACTAATTCAGTGTGACTTCTGTGGGCTATTTCATTGAAATCTTGCCTCGTCATTACTCGAAAAATTCATTTTAGTAAATCGTGGTATTTACTGTTAACGAGTCTGCAAAGGTGAGTCGGTGGTGCAGAGGAAGAATGCTCACTAGCCAGTGAGGTGGTTGGTGGTTCAATCCCCAGCCGACGGACTGACTGCCAAAATTCTCTTAGCAAATAATTAGCTCGGCAAAGATGGGAGGTTAAGCGTGAGACTAGCAATCCTTCCCTGATGCGGAAACTTCAAAGTTCTAGTTTGAATCCTCCGTTCCGGTGGAAACACAAAGGAATAAAAGTTAAGAAATTTGAAAAGAACAGTACGAACCTGTTAACACACATATCATCAGCTTTTTATGCCCACTCAATTTGTTTGACTTATCAGATGAAATAAGACATTAATTACGAATAAAAACTAAGCAATTAGGAATAGAAAGACTAGAAATTGTTTAAGTGTTTGTCACAGCTGACTACCTGCATCTTCCGTTCCATTTTACTATTTATGCGAAATGAGATTGCTCAAAATCATTGGCTGACTAGTAGTAGTACGCTCTAAAAAGAAGTGTGATTACTAAAAATTAAAACTTGGTTGGCAGTCAAGTTTCTTAATCCAGTCATTGGAGAGACCAACCACTAGTATAACCCTTGATGCGACTGACATCATCCCACCCCTCAATGTATCGAAGTAGTATTATTTCATGTTTTCAGAAATAATATGAATGAATAATCATTGTGAAACAAATCCAATTGGTTGTAAACTCTCTGGACAAAATCTTGTGACTTGTATTGCAAGTGTATATATTTGTATATAAACTGATTTGTTAGAACATGCTGATTTGAAATAACGATATTTGAATCTACTATGGACGTGTTTCTCTTCACTGTTTTACTAGCACTACTGCAAGTCAATCTAGGAGTTCATTCGTTTTCGGTTATGCAGAATGCTGAACCTACGCAGCCGACAGCTGATACAGTGACGCCACCACCAACACAAAGTTCTAATCCAGAAGCTGATTCACAGGATAATTCAAATGTACAGACGGAAGTAGTGGAAATGCCGATGGCTACCGGAAATACAGAAACAACAACTACCAGTCCAGCTGAAGTGACGGAAATAGTGGAGAAGACAAAGATGCCTATGCTTGGTGAGGATGAAGAATCTATACCACCTGAATTCAGACAGAAAAGCAAAAATGAAACTTCAACAGAAGAAGAAAATAAACAAGAACGCAAAGGTAAATTAGTTGATGTAGTAGTGCAAACATCCCCGGAATTTTACAAACTGAAAACTCTAGATCACATAACTCTGGCGTTTTATAAGACAGTAGTTAAAATTATGGAACGACTATCAGTAGCCTTCGAGAAAATATCCAACGACGTGGAGAAATTCAAGGAAAAACTGAAACCTCATAGAAGCTGAGAATATGCTGCAGTGAACTGAAGTTTGTTTAACACGTTACTTTGTGATTAAACCCAATGGCTGAGTGTTTTGTAGTCGTCTTTTTTTGTTTGTTTTTGATCATGCACTGTGAGACTAAGTATCTTTTAATTATCAAATATAGTTTCTGTGAAGATTTGTCAATACAATGTTCAACTTATTAACATTATTGTTATTATTGTCTCCTTTAGTTCGTAGAGGAACAAAGGGTTTCTGCCACACATCTCCATTCCCTTCGGTTCTCCACCAACGTTTTCACTAAGCTACACGTCTGCCCTCCTGCGTGTCACCCTCGCAATGACGATTAACTGACTCGTCGCTTCTCATTTGAGTTCCACTTGAGAGAGGGAACCTTGCGTGTGATGTCACTTGATGCTTTCTTTTCTCAGAGTATGGCCTCCAATCCACTTCCATATCCTCTTCAAATCGTAAAATTCTGGTAATGCGTGAGACATCCTCGGTTAGCAGATTTATTCAGTAGACTACAGAAAAGCAAAGCGGAGTATAGTAGAGTAGGGTTGTATCGATCGTTTGAAATCAGGAATAGAAAATATTTGTCATGTGAAATCGTGAATCACCAACGTACATGATGAATTCTCTATGAATGATTTGAATACTAAGCGAAGTGTTAATGAAACCTGAGATTTTCTTTCAGTTATGAATATTATTATCTAGATGTTTGAATTATATATTCATAAAGGAATCACAAGTTTAATAAAGCTGAGAGTTGTGGTTTATCATGATTAGCAGATCTCATTGAAGTAATCACGCTCGCCCTAAGAACAAGAATAATCAGTTTATTCCAGACAAAGATTACATGTTATACTGCGACTGATTCACTCATTTCGTAAATGAAATCTAAAAGTCTGACTCATTAATCGGTTAAGTCTGTTAACTACTGCACACAGATAGTCATTTGATTTGTACTGTTAGTATACTCGTTTCATTTGTCGTCACGGTCCACTACGATATTTCCTCTTTCATTTTGGTAAAGGAATATAGAAAGCGATGAATTTGATGTCCAATTTCAGGACACATTCGACAAAGTTAAAACACAAACAGAAGGTATAATTTCAGGCAGTATATATTTTATAGGAAAAGATGTATCGGTGAATAATTCCACAAGATTATCGAACTGCAGGTTTCATCTCATTCGACTCTGGGCGTGCATCTTGCTAGTTAAAGTCTGTTGGTTAAACTGAAGGTGTACCATTTGACAGGCTGCTGTGTTACGTTTGGTTATTCGTAGCCTTCCTGCATAGCTAGTTAAGTGAAGGTCAGCGTGCTACCGTTCTTATCCAAAGATACCTCTCGTATTTTAGTTGTACGGACGACTAGCCTTCCGGAGAGTTGCATGTGTATCCTGGATTCCATTTCTATTCACGATCAACCAAAATATCATCATGTTACTGAGACCACAAATGTTTGATTCTGCGTTAATGATACATTACAAAGTTTAATCACCGGTATCTTTACATGTGCGTTGATGGCTTGACTGTAGAATGCCCGCAAATCACGCATATGCTTTAGGGCTCGATTCACGGCTATCACACACCTTTATCACCCTTAGCCAGTTCTAAATCCCACAAATAGTTGAACCTGAGGATAGCAACCCTACGCAGTTAAACCACCCCTGCTACTAAGACTTCAAAGATCTAGTTTGGAGCCCAATATTCCTTCTACTCATTACTCGAAGGAATGAAAAATAAGTATCTTCACCCGAAATTTACCTCTAACCCTACACTGAATGGTCAAAGGTACAATCTTAGTGTTTATTTCAGCGTCACATTAAATACTCACTTAACGTTAATCAGCGAGTCAGGAAAAATCAACAAATCCTTTTCAAAATTGTATCTGTGGAATGCAAAAGTAACAGCGTATTTTCGATACAGTTTGCAGAATGAAGCGTGAAAACTTCAGTATATAATTCTCCGAATATTCATATCTCCCTATCAAATAAAGCATACAGTAATATAGAATGGTAGCGAAGAATGGTGATACGAGTATACGAGTTTACTTACCCTAGTTATACATCAGTCAGTTTATACAGTATCATTTATTGAGATAATAATGAAGCCATGAGATTCACTAAACTAAGAGAAGGTCAAGAGAATCACAGTAGATGTAGCATCCTGACGAGGAGGAGTGAAAAGTAGGGAAAGTTAAACATCACTTCGAAGGTATGAAAGTTGACTACATATCAACAATAATAAGCGAATTCGGTTACAGGATTTCATCATCAGCTGACATGAGTTGGAGAACCACTTTTATAAAATAAATCCAATGACTGCGTGTTTTGTAATCGTTTTTGTACCCATCAATATTCCATTTTCTATCTCTATAAAATCAGCTGTACATATATGCTGAATCCCCCTAAACAAGCGATTCATCAAGCCTCTCTTAAAATCTAATGGACAGAAGCTGTGAAAATTAGAGTATTGCCTAGTCCAAGTTGGCTTTCTTGCATGGATGTGGACTGTTAAAATTGTAAACTGGACAGTCAGTAATCTACACCGGTCTGGTCATCCAGACGACAACCACGAGCACACTGAGGCAGTGATTGGCTGTTATTACGTCACCAGGAGGAAATCTCAATTAGCTGATCCTAGCAAAATGAGGATTCTAAAAAAAGGCCCAGCAGTAGCATAATATTCAATTACACATAACCATACAATAGGATGAAAGGCGAGGAGGGGACGAAATGACAGTATTAACATCTTGTGTGTAACAGGATGGATGCAGAGATTTTTTATCGAATCAACTGAGAACAACTATCGTAGATATCTGCAAGGTTGCACTACTCTGAAATATGGGAAAGAAGAGTGAGAGTTATATAGAAAAGAACTTTCTCAGTATTCCGTAGGTTCAACTGATATGATTATGATGTATGGCATTATATTTTATACATACTGCCCATGGTCGTTTGTGAACATGTTTACTGTTCGATGTAGATTCCGTTAAGAACCAGCACCAGTTAGATAACAACTAGTGGTGTCAACCAGAAGTATCCGAGAGTAATGCCCACTATCCCCAATGCTACTCAATTTAATCATACGTATACTGTTGGAATTAACCCTAAGTGACTTCAGAGACTCAGGGATTGACTTGTTGTCATTGACTTAGAATATGCAGATGATATAGTTCTTCTAGGTGAAGACGCTGACCAAATGTGAAGTCTTCTGAACACCTTGAGGAGCAGCAATCTGTGAATGTTTGGCATGCAATTCGCTCACGCTTAATGTAAGCTGATGATGCTAGAGGATTGGACTACATTGACTCCTTGCTTAGAAATAGGGAGTGAATTGGTAGAGTACGTTGACTACTTCACTTTTTTTTGGGGGGGAGGGAAATGCATCAGCTCACGTCAATGGGTTGATCGCTAACCAAATCTCAACACGGATACAGGAGGCTGGATTCCCATATGCCAGTTTACGCCGTCTCTGGCTTAGTAAACGTGATAGCCGGCTGGCTGTTGACCAAAGGGCGTGTGTACTGCTCAGCAGTCCTCTCCATCCTCCTTTGTGTCTGTAAAACCAGGCAGTTAAGAGTGGAAGACATGTAAAGATTAGCTGTCTTCGATCATAGGTGCCTGCGTTCTTTCTCCCTTGTGAAGTGGTATAATAGGATGAGCGATATTAAGGTTGGGCGTAGAGTGCTAAGTAAGGAGGGGGAATCAATGAACGGGGTTGTGAAGCTACGTTATTACCATTCCTTTTGTCTCATATCCCTGTCTACTGTCTCTATTTTGCATTTCTTTTTCTTTATTCTCTGGCTATGTGTTCTACAAGGAGGGAGAGTGGAGACTCGAACTGCTGCGAATTTGTACTGTGCAAAATTCTAGGTTGAAACAAGTCAGTCACCATTAAGATAGCATTAACAATCATAAAGTGCTGAATGCCTGTTCCATCTTATCATAGAGTTCCTCAGAAGTGCACACCGGTGACCTCAACAAGGGTCGAACCCGGGACCTTCAGGCTAACGAGGTTAACCATTCGGTCCTCGCGAATCCAGTGGTCCGAGGATTTTAACTATTTCAATTCCTAATATTATAGCCCAACCCTCCATCATTGCCTTCACGTAGTGTGTCCCTTTGATCAAAGCTTCCCAGTACAGCTTCATAACATCTATTCGATCGTAATCAATGAGTCAGAGACTGATCTGTTATATTTCTGATGTAACAGAGAAACAAGTACAAACTTGTAAAAAGAAGCTAAAACAATTATTTGGAAACAATTATTCATCTAAAAGCAACTTGTTTGTATATAACAAATCCACTTTATAATATCTTTCCTTTTCAATGTTGTCAATTCCAATGAATTTTTGTTTTCTGTGTCTTCAGCTTACATTTAGTGTTTGAGATAACTGATTTCAGGTACATAGGTAGTACATGTCTAGGCCTGTGTAAATAGAATAGAATCAATAATATTTACATTATCTTCTATGGAATGATAGGAAGTAATGAAATCCAAGAAAGCAGAACTTGATTATGTTGTATTTCATTCACTCATAAGTACATGTTCATAGTGTGAATACCGGAGTACTTTTGAGGTGTCAACATCTTTGTTATTGCTGTTATTATCAACATAACCTAATCTAGTTTACTAGCTCACTAGTTTTGCAGCTGGTCCTAAGTCTGAGGAAAGAAGGAAGGTTCGGTATGGGCTACCGATCCTACACTACAAAACCAATCATAATTCTACAGAAACTTCAACAGCCAACCGATGTGTCTTCTCTCGACGAAAGCAAGAATAAGAATGGGGACGTGGAATGTGTACGTAAAATGTGCGAGACTGGGAAGGCTGTCCAAGTTGCTGAACAAATAGGTAGGTTTGGTATAGAAGTGCTAGGTATCTTCTGCTAGGGCAGATGGAATGGATGTGGACTGTCGAAGTTGGCAGGTGGTGAGTCAGTAATCTACTCCAGTCATCCAGACGACAATCACGAGCACACTGAAGAAGTGAGTGGCTTTCATGATTTTACCAGTGACAGCCAAAGCTCTTATGCAATGGGAACCTGTCTCCTCCAGTGTCATAATAGCAAGATTCAACTCCAAAAGAGGGAAGGAATGTTACAATTATTCAATGCTGCGCACTTATAACTCGGAAAAAGAGAGGAAAGAAGAATTCTATATACAACTGCAAACAGTAATGGATAGCACCTGAAATTTTACACCAATAGCAGTATGGTACATATGAATACCAAGCGAACTGGGAGCTGATAATACAGAAAGGGGACTCATCATGGGTCAAGAGGCTGTCGGAAAAATCAGTAAAAATGGAGAACTCTTGTCAGAAGTCTGCGAGCAGATTAGGACGTAAAAGCTGGAATCGAAAAGGTAAAGTGTACCTTCATCGATCTGAAATCAGTTGAAAAAATCCACTGCACTTCTCTTCAGCATAAAGAACAAAATTCGGATTTCTAACACCAATGTTGAATCAGTCAGTCAGTCGGTTCTTCCAAGTGGGTGATAAACTTGCACTGAACTTGACGAAAAGGCTTTGAAGAAAATAACTATCCAAAGAACTTCATGAACAAAATCAACAACGACTTTAATAAAATGTGGTCGTATTCGTATTCCGACGACATGAAACTCAACAGTTGTCAGTCCATGTGGACCATCGGATACATCAGAGAGCATCAGAAGAATACTCACTAAACATGAACAGCGTCAAAGTTTTCTTCAAAACATCAGAACAGACACACACACTACAAAGCAACCTTGTCCATATAGAAGACCGAATTCCTAAGGATTCTCAATCTAATTGTGTTTATAAAATAAAATCCTTGCAATGTGATACGATATATATCGGATAACACCGTAGAGCCACCTCTGTTTGATCTCCGTAAAATGCAGTTGATTTAGAAAAGCTTCAAAAATCACCAGCCATAGCTCGTCTACACTCCATAGAATCAGGTCACAAAATTGATTTGACAATATCAAAAATCATTCAGAAAAATTTCGGAAATCAAAAAGGACGTCTCACATCATCAGAAGCACTTCATTTCAAATGCAATCCGAATTATCTGAACTGAATAGGAATGATGGACTAAAACAGAATTTGAGCTGGTTGCAAAAGCTTCCTCCACCCCATAAAGTCAAAAAATCAACACGAATGTGATAAGCAATTTCATTATGTAAACAAACGCCCCTTTTATAATTTTATACACATATCGGATACAACAATCTACACCTGGTTTTGTTATCTTTACCAATTGGCCACTTTGATAACGTAAAACTCACTCCTTGGGGATGAACGATGATTCAGTTGTTCTACATAAGCTGAGTGGATTTTGCCAATCCTGGTTAAATAATACTACTAATATGATAAAGCTATTAGCATTAAATAGCGACATGTTATTCATTGTGAAATATAGAAAACCTTTATTGTAATCAATATCACATACCCAATGCCCAAATTTTTTCAAACTGTTACAAGTGAAATTGGTTTCGACATATATAATATACAAAAGTCAATTTTCAAAAACAAAAGAGATGTAATCGATCGCACTATTAGAAATATTTCAAAAGTTTACTACAAGTGAAAAATATTACAATTACTTTGATGACCTGCATCCACCACACATTTCGATCAAGCCTAATTGAAGAATTCCCAGGACGGAATCTTGTGATTGATTGAGCAATGTTTCTGAATTCTTGTAGTACTGGTCCTTGATATCTTGTGCTCCCGTCGGCGCCTATCAGCTCTGTTAACTGTGATTCACTCAGCATAGGTTGACCGCCTGGAGTTTGTGCAGCTATTCTTCTCAAAGCTTCTTCCATACTCATTTGAAATTGTCTTTTTGACAAAGTGTCTTCACCATCATCACCAGTTACTGCCACAATGTCAAATGTTGCTTGACAGCATTCCATTGAATATGTAATGAAGCATAGGAAGATGTTCAGGAGGAATACGCGTGAAAACACGATATCTGATAGTTTCATATTTTTGTATTTATCACAGTATGATTAAGTTTATTCAATGTTCGATGGATAGATATTCATTCAAATTTTTCCTTTTTTGACATACTGTGAATAAAAGAGAATGAGTACAGCTCAGATAAGTTTTACTTTAAATATTGCAGAGAAAAGAGTTTAGCTGTTTGTGTGAGTGTGAGTGTGTCCGAGTGTGTCAAGTTTCTGTTGGTTGGTGGTGTTTGATATTCTACAAAATGGACAGAGTGTGGTGATCATCTGTCATCCATGGTTGACCTTTTGTTATAAATGAAAACAAAATGAGTGATTGAATATTCTCAATAATCAGTAATTGAGCAGTAGTCTTAAGAAAGAAATTGTCTTAGAGAATATTTATATTTCATTTTAGTGAATGGTGGCTTATTGTGAAACATCCTGTGTGAGAATGAACAGCTAGATTCCCTTCGAGACTTGACGCTTGAAGTGGTTTGTTCAAACTCACTAGGAAGGTGTAAGTGTATCCCGGCGACGAGTATCAAACGAGATAAATGTGCATCCTGGATTCCACTTACATTTCACTATCAAGTGAAGTATCACCAGGTTGTTCAGACCAAAAATATTTGATAGTGAGTTTATCATGAATTGCAGAATCTAATCTTCGGTATCTTTACCTGTGCGTTGAAGGCTTGAAGGTAGAATGCTCACCAATCACGCGCGTGGTCTGGGATTCGATTCCCGGCTGGCGCACACCTTTACCCCTGTTAGCATGTTATAAGCCTGACAGAGAGGGAAGGTTGGGCATGAGAGTAACAATACTACTCTGTAATAAACACCACTGCTAGTGAGATTTCAAAGCTGTAGCTGGAAGTTTGACGTTCCAGTTGCTGCTCACAGGAATTAAATAATTGTCTTTACTCGTCATTTACGTTTAACCCTATGGTGAATGGTTAAAGGTACAGTTTTAGTGTTTGCTTTAACGTCACGGTAAGTACCTAATTAACGATAATGAGTGTGTAGTGAAAAGTCGACAAGTTCTTTCCAAAATACTATCTGTGGAAGCTGGAAAAGACTGCAGAGAACAGAGTGAAGTGGCGGTTGATGGCCGGAGCCCAATGTTCCAATAAGAGCTCAAAGGGATGACTAATAACGACAATCACATTAGGAATACAACATTCAGTGGAGAGATTACTTTTAACAGATATATTATCAATGGATAAAATGATAATAATAATAATATGAAATGCATGTGCTGAAATGAGTGTCTTTGCTGAATATTGTGTTCTTAATGTTAAAATGAGAATTGATAAATTATTGAGGCAGTCACATTATCCATGTTTACTGCTACGCAATGAATGATACAAGCATATTTATAATATCGCATTAATTTCCTTCTCCATTAGATTAGATTTCATGTGGTCTGAGGACATCATCAGAAATACACAATTCACGAAAGTCTCATACGCATTTGTAGATCGTCCAAATCATCCAGCATTGCGGTTATACACCTAGTGTTGGGGTAGTTCGGGTACAATTGGCCTTGTATAATGTTGCGCTGGAAGTATTAATTCCTCAATAAGGAAATGAATTAACCTCGATTGCGAAAAAAACAACCTGACACCGTCTACTATAAACAACTGATAAATAGAAGAAATTAACATTTTTTGGTGGGGTAAATTTCAGCTATATCTATACTAATTCAGTGTGACTTCTGTGGGCTATTTCATTGAAATCTTGGCTCGTCATTACTCGAAAAGTTCATTTTAGTAAATCGTGGTATTTACTGTTAACGAGTCTGCAAAGGTGAGTCGGTGGTGCAGAGGAAGAATGCTCACTAGCCAGTGAGGTGGTTGGTGGTTCAATTCCCAGCCGACGGACTGACTGCCAAAATTCTCTTAGCAAATAATTAGCTCGGCAAAGATGGGAGGTTAAGCGTGAGACTAGCAATCCTTCCCTGATGCGGAAACTTCAAAGTTCTAGTTTGAATCCTCTGTTCCGGTGGAAACACAAAGGAATAAAAGTTAAGAAATTTGAAAAGAACAGTACGAACCTGTTAACACACATATCATCAGCTTTTTATGCCCACTCAATTTGTTTGACTTATCAGATGAAATAAGACATTAATTACGAATAAAAACTAAGCAATTAGGAATAGAAAGACTAGAAATTGTTTAAGTGTTTGTCACAGCTGACTACCTGCATCTTCCGTTCCATTTTACTATTTATGCGAAATGAGATTGCTCAAAATCATTGGCTGACTAGTAGTAGTACGCTCTAAAAAGAAGTGTGATTACTAAAAATTAAAACTTGGTTGGCAGTCAAGTTTCTTAATCCAGTCATTGGAGAGACCAACCACTAGTATAACCCTTGATGCAACTGACATAATCCCACCCCTCAATGTATGGAAGTGGTATTATTTCATGCTTTCAGAAATAATATGAATGAATAATAATTGTGAAACAAATCCAATTGGTTGCAAACTCTCTGGACAAAATCTTGTGACTTGTATTGCAAGCGTATAAATTTATATATAAACTGATTTGTTATAACATGCTGATTTGAAATAACGATATTTGATTCTACCATGGACGTATTTCTCTGCACTGTTTTACTGGCTTTACTGCAAGCCAATCTAGGCGTTCATTCATTTTCTGTTATGCAGAATGCTGAAACTACGCCTCCAGCAGTTGATACACAAAGTCCTAATCCACCTGATGACTCACAGGATAATAAAAATGTACAGACGGAAGTAGCGGAAGTGCCGATGGCTACCGGAAACACAGAAAAAACAACTACCAGTCCAGATGAAGTGACGGAAAGAGTTGAGGAGAAAAAGATGCCTATGCTTGGTGAGGACGAAGACACTATACCACCTGGATTCAGACCGAAAAGTGAAAATGAAACTTCAACAGAAGGAGAAAACAAACAAGAGCACAAAGGTAAATTAGTTGATGTAGCAGTGCAAACATCCCCGGAAATTTACAAACCGAAAACTCTAGATCATATAACACTGTCGTTTTATAAAACAGTAGTCAAAATTATGGAACGACTATCAGTAGCCTTCGAGAAAATATCCAACGATGTAGAGAAATTCAAGGAAAAACTCAAACCGAATAGAAGCTGAGAATATGCTGCAGTGAATTGAAGTTTCTTTAACATGTAACTTTGTGATTAAATCCAGTATGTTTGCTCATGTATTGTGAAACTAAGTCTCTTATATTTATCAAATATAGTTTCTGTAAAGATTTGTCAATACCATGTTTTCCTTATTATCGTTATTATTTTTGTTGTCTCGTTTAGTTCCTAGAGGAACATACGGCTTCAACCACACGTCTACAGTGCGTTCGGTTGTCTGCCAAGGTGTTCACCTGGCTCCACGTCTACCCACGTGCTTTGGTCTCATCTTCGTATCACCTCCTCCCACATATAAACGTCTCGCTGACGACCAACTCGACACAGCAGATTCGGGTTCAACTAGAGAGACAGCCTGTTGTGTGATGTTACTTGACTGTTTGTTTCCCCTGAGTATGGTCTCAAATCCACCTTCATTTCTTCCTTAAACCGTTAAATTCTGATAGTGTGTGAGATATTGTTGGTTAGCAGATTTATTCAGTGGACTGCAACAGATCATAGCGGAGTAAAATTGAGCAGAGTCGATCGTTTGAAATGAGAAATAGAAAATATCTGTCATGCGAAATCATGAATCACCAACCAATATGATGAATATTCTGTAAATGACTTGTCTACTAAACGAAGTGATTATGAGACCTGTGCTTTCCTTTTAATTGTCAATCTTGTCATCAAGACTTTTGAAGTATATTCAGAAAGGATTCACAAGTTTAACACTGCTGAGAGTTGTGGATTATCATGATTAGCAGATCTCCTTGAAGTAATCACGGTTGTCATAAGAATAAGAATAATCACTTTATTCTAGACAACGATCATATGTTATACTGCAAATAATTCACTCAGTTCGTAAGTGAAATCTAAAAATCTAACTCATAAATCGGTGAAGTCTGTTAACTAATACACACACACATGGTCATTTGATTCATACTGCTAGTATACTCAATTCATTTTTCGTCACAATGAACTACGATATTCCCTCTTTCAGTTTGGTGAAGGACTAAAGAAAGCGATGGATTTGACGTTCGATTTCAGGACACATTTGACGAATTTGAATCACAAACTAAAGGTACAATTCCAATCAGTATATATTTTATAGGAATAGATGTATCGTTGAATAATTCCACAGGATTATCGAAGTGCAGGTTTCATCTCCTTCGACGCAGGGTGCGGATGTTGCTTATTTATTTCGGCTGGTTAAACTGAAGGTGTACCATTTGACACACTGTTGTATGAAGTTCATTTGTTCGTAGCCTCACTGTGGAGCTAGTTAAGCAAACATCACCGTGCTACAATTCTTTTCTCAAGATACCCTTCGTATTTCAGTTGTACGGACGATTAGTCTTCGAAAGAGTAGCATGTGTATCCTGGATTCCATTTCTATTCACGATCAACCGAAATATCATCATGTTACTGAGACCGAAAATGTTTGATTCTGTGTTAATGATCCATTACAAAGTCTAATCTTCAGTATCTTTACATGTGCGTTGATGGCTTAAAGGTAAATTGCTCGACAATCATGCGCGTGCTTTAAGGCTAAATTCATGGCCAGCACACACTTTTATCTCCCTTAGCCAGTTCTAAATCCCACAAATAGGGAAAGTTGAGCCTGAGGATAGCAACCCTACCCAGTTAAACCACCCTGCTACTTAGACTTCAGAGATCTGTTTTGCGGCCCAATATCCCTTCCACTCATTATTCGAAGGAATAAAAAATAAGTACCTTCACCTGTAATTTACCTCAGACGCTACAGTGAATGGTCAAAGGTACAGTTTTAGTGTTTATTCTAACGACACACTAAATACTGACTTAACGTTAATCAGTGTGTCTTAAAAAATCAACGAATCCTTTCCAAAATTTTATCTCTGTAAGGCAATACACTTTTCAGAATGGAACATGAAATCATAAGTATGTAATGCTCCGAGTATTCATATCTCCCTATCAAACAACGTATATAGAAATATAGAATGGTAGCAAAGAATGGTGACACGGGATTACTTACCCTAGTTATACATCAGTCAGTTTATGCAGAATCCTTTATTGAGACAATAATGAAGCCATAAAATTCACTAAATTGAGAGAAGGTCAAGAGAATTACACTGGATGTAGCGTCCTGACGAGGAGGAGGAAAGTAGTGAAAGCTAAAACCTCACTTCGAAGGTATGGAAGTTGACTACATTTCAACAATATTAAGCGAATTCGGTTACAGGTTTTCATCACGAGCTGACATCGGTTAAAGAACCGTTTTGAGATTAAATCCAATGACTGAGTGTTTTGTAATCGTCTCTGTACTCATCAATATTTCATTTTCTTTCGCCATAAAATCAGCCGTACATACACACTGAATCCTCTTAAACAAGCATTTCATCAAGCCTCTCCTATACTCTAATGGACAGAAGCTGTGAGAATTAAGGTATAGCCCTGTTCATGTTGGCTTTCTGGCATGGATGTGGACTGTTAAAATTGTCAACTGAAGAGTCAGTAATCTACTCCGGTCTGATAATCCAGACGACAACCGCGAGCACACTGAGGCAGTAAGTGAGCGGCTGTTATGACGTCACCAGTGGGAAATCTCAATTAGCTGATCTTAGTAAAATGAGGAATCTAGAGAAAAAGCCCACCAGTGGCATCACATTCAGTTACCTATAATCATGCCAAGGGATGAAAGGCATGGGAAGTAGGCGAAATGACAGCATTAACATCTAATGTGTAACAGGATGGAGGCAGAGATAGATTATCGAATCAACTGAGAACAACTATCGTAGATATCTACAAGACTGCACTATCCTGACATATGGGGATGAAGGATGAGAGTCATATAAAAGAAGAACTTTCTCAGCGTTGCGTAGGTTCAACTGATATGATTATGATGTATGACATTATGTTTTATGCAAATAAAAAAAACGACATGGAATTAGATATCATACCACCTGTAGTCATTTGTGAACATGTTTACTGTTCAATGTAGATTCCATTAAGAACCAGCACCAGTTATATAACAACTAGTGTTGTCCGACAGGGATGCCCACTATCTCCATTTCTACTCAATTTCATCATAGATATACCATTGGAATTAAGCGACTTCAGAGACTCAGGGATTGATTTGTTACCAAGGAGGGAATAATCTCTTTGACTTAGAATACGCAGGTGATATAGTCCTTCTAGTTGAAGACGCTAACAAAATGAGCTGCAATCTTTGAATGTTTGGCATGCGATTCGCTTCCGCCAAATGTAAGATGACGCTACAGGATTGGACTCCAGTGACTCACTCTTAGCTTAGAAATAGGAAGTGAGGTGGTAGTGCTTGTTGACCACTTCACTTATTTGGGGGGAAGTTGCATCAGCCAGCTCCAGTGGGTTGATCGCTGACGAGATCTCAGCACGGATACACAAGGCTTGTTTCGCATTTGCCAGTTTCCGCCTTCTCTGGCGTAGACGTGGTATCCAGCTATCGAGCAAAGGGCATGTGTGCTGCTCAGCAGTCCGCTCCGTCCTCCTTGATGGCTGTGAGACCTGGTCATTGAGAGTGGAAGATGCGAAAAGGCTGGTTATCTATCTTCGATCATAGGTTCCTGCGTTCTATTTCTAGTAAGAAATGATATAATAGGGTGAGCAATATTGAGGTTAAGCGTCGAGTGCCAGGCAAAGAGGGGGAATCAGTAGACGGGGATGTGAAGCTACATTGACTGAAATGGTTAGGACATGTGTTACACATGTCTAGCCATTGATCGCCTACCTCGACGGGCAATGTTAACTGACAAATCATGGATCAGGTTGGAAAAGAGTGAGCTAGTGGTGGTCAAACCAAAACATGGCTTCATCAGCCAATGACATCCACAACGGTTAGTTTAACCCAGCCAGCCACGTAGGAAGGTGTAGACTTCCTGGTTGGGGTCCTCAGGACGGTAAAAACCAATAGCTGGAGATAATTGGTGACATGGCTAAAAATCGTTCTCAAAGATGACACAGATACATCCATTACTTGTGACTGATAATTTCCAATAAAACAATATTTTTCTTCAATATTACTATTCCTTTTGCCTCATATCCCTGTTTACTGTCTCTATTTTGCAATACTTTTTACAACTATGAAGCACTGGATGCCTGTTTCATCCTGCCTTAGGGTTCCTCAGAAGTGCACACCCATAACCCCAGCAAGGGTTGAACCCGGAACCTTCAGGCCAGCGAGGTAAGCCACTTGGTCCCCGAGAATCCCGAATTTTAACTATTTTAATTCCTAATATTATGGCCCTACCCTCCAACATTGCCTTTGATCACTCTCCAGCTAACCTTCACGTAGTGAGTACCTTTGATCACAGCTTCCCCGTACAACTTCACAACATCTATTCGATAGTAATCAATGAGCAATTGACTGCTATGTTTTACTTATGATGTAACAGAGATACAAGTATAAACTTGTGAGAAGAAGTTAAAACAATTATTTGGAAAGCTTATTCATCAAAAAGCAACTTGTTTACAGTATTAAATCCACTTTATAATATCTATCCGTTTCAGTGTTGTCAATTCTAATGAATTTTTGTTTTCTGTGTCTTCAGATTACATTTAGTGTTTCAGATAACTGATTTCAGGTACATAAATAGTACATGTCTAAGCCTGTGTAAATAGAATAGAATCAATAATATTTACATTATCTTCTATTCAATGATAGGAACTAATGAAATCCAAAAAGGCAGAACTTGACTATGTTGGATTTCATTCATTTGTAAGTACATGTTCAAAGTGTGAATACTGGTGTACTTTTGAGGTGTCAACATCTTTGTTATTGCTGTTATTATCACCATAACCTAGTCTGGATTACTAGCTCACTAGTTTTGCAGCTGATCCCAAGTCCGACCGAGGAAAGAAGGAGGGTTTGGTATGGGTTAGCGACTCTACACCACAAAACCAATCATACTTTTACAGAGACTTCAACAGCCAACCGATGTGTCTTCTCTCGATGAAAGCAAAAATAAGAATGGTGACGTGGAATACGTCCGTAAAATGTGCGAAACTGGGAAGGCTGTTCGAGCTGCTGAACACATGGGTAGATATGGCATAGAAGTGCTGGATATCTGCCAGGGCAG